TTTAGTGACATGAATTTTTCTCATCAGGTTGTTCAGTCATCACCATTATCAATTTCCACAATTTGCCATGACCGTTTTATCACAAAGTTTTGGAACCTGGATGACCTACGTGGGACAAAGCTGTTATCAGAGAGAACAGATGCTGCTTGGAAACATTAGCTGGCTTGACCATACCATTGCTGCTTACTGAGCATCATCCCCAAACCAGTCCATTTGTGGAGCTCACATTCCTGCCACTCATTAACACTGCCGCTTTGCCTCCACAGTGCCTGGCATAAAATCATTCCTTAATGAATAGTGTGCTCAATTGAAGTGTCTTGTCTAACTGTGGCAGTGCCTAACTGCCCCAAATACACAAGGTTCATATTTTCAATCTCCTGTCTCCTTCTCTGGCTCAGGAGCATCGAGCCATTCCCTGCACAAAGTTGTGTTCTCACCACCTGTCAAGTGGCTTTGCAGTCTACCCCAGGGTATCACTTCCTTTCTTTCTTTAGGATCTGGTACCTACTTACCTCTTTCCATTCTCTCCCTAAACAACCCCTCACCCTGCATTCCCAACAGTCCCGCCTCTGTTTTCTCGCAGCTCCATCTATCATGTGATTTCTTCCCTCAAGGCACTGGGGATCTGTAGCGCTCAGTTGGTGGCCCAGGTGGGTGCTTCTGGAGAGGCCAACAAGAGAGGCAGGCCTACACAAGTGACAAGTGGGAGATGACTCCCAGGAGGCCCAGGTTCCCAGACATTTTGGGGAATGAGAAATGCAAATTCGAAGATAAAATTTCTCCTAGGGTTAAAAATTGGCATCAAGGTTCTGATTTACTAGGTCTTGGGTGAAACCCGAGAATTTCCATTTCTAGTAAATTCCTGGTGATACTGTTGCCTCTTGCCTGGGGACTGTCCTGAAACCCACTGCACTGTATTGTGTATTTACTTTATCGGGTCAGGCTTTCTCTTCCTCAGAGACAGCACTTCTGGAGGACTTCTCTCTCAGAGATGGAAAGGGTTTCTATCACAAGCCCAGAGCCTGTTCTAGTCTTTCCTCAGTAGTCGCGGGCAAATGGTCTTTTTTTACACTTGTTTGAAGAGAATTAATCCTGAGAAATGTGCTCACACGGGGTTACTAGTTTGAGACCCAAAGGACAGTAAGTGCCAGGAACCCTATGTCCTTCCATCAGGGCCATTTTCTATCAGGATCATGACTTAAACTGTGACCCCAAATAGGTGTTAGAATGCTAGTCCCTCTGCCTGTGTATATAATCTTGTTTAGAATTGAGTTTTCTTTGTTATGTTAACTAGATTGTACTAAGAGGAGGTAAAAGGATCCATCAGAATGGGGAAATTATTGAATACTATTATTAATATCACATAAAAGTAAACATCTGCTGAAGACAATTAAAAAGCAATTGTAGCTGTATAGCAACAGACAATTGCTGGATAGTCAAGGACTCAGAAGAGCATGTGGCAGGAAGGATATCACTGCTCATGTGGATGGATCTGGTCTGAAATCAGGGAATACTCGTAAGATGTTTACCTGTTTTATTGGCTATGCAAAGGCATTTATCTCACGAATTATGGGTAAATCTCAAAGAATAGTAATCACAAAATACTTAATTGTGCTCATGCGGAACCTGATAAGAACAAGGAGGAGCTGTGTGGTTTAAAATCAGGAAAGACGTGCATCCGGGTTGTAGCTCTGCACCACACTTATTTAATCTGTATGCTAAATGGATCATCTGAAAAGCTGGACTATATGCAGATGTTATACCACCTTGCTTACTGAAAGCAAAGAGGACTTGAAAAAC